AAAAACGGCCGCTCTACTTCTCTCTCCTCTTTCCGCGTGCGTGAGTGTTGTGAGATTTCTTGGAGATCAAGAACTCCTAAACCTAAACGTGTATATATTTATTAGTGTTGTATCTCTCTCCCTCTCCAAAACGCGATCCCGCAGCTTTCTCTTCGTCAGGCCCGAAATCTCTCTCTCGCGTGAATTATTTTCTTTTTGTTCTCTCAAATCCGATCCATCATCGTCGTCGTCTTCAACCTATATCGCTGCCATCACCATCTCTCGACGCCATCCTCGCCTGCAACTTCCTCTCGCCGGCGGACCACTGCACCTCTGCGAGCAGCAATTCAGGCCCAATTTCCGACGACATCTGCTGCAACTCCTCACCGCGCGAGCAACTCCGGCGAAGCCCCTTCGCCGTCGACGACCAGCAACTCTCTCTCACGCAACCGCGACCCTGCAGCAGCACGCTCTCCTACTGCACGACGAGCTCTCCTCTTTCGAGAGACGAAGTCCAGCCGTCGAGCCCGTCGTCCCGTAAATCCGTTCGAACCATTCTCGCGTTTCCCGAGAACGGTATCGAGCTTCGACCCTCGTTATTTATTTTTGTGTTTTTGGTTGATGTATTAGTCTTGCATCTCAATTTTATATGCTATATGAAGATATGTGAATAGGTAATTTCATGTGAGCATTGTATCTATTTTTGTTGGCGTGAATTTAATGTTAATTTCGTCGATTCGTGTGAGTCGAACGAGAACTGAATATAAGTGATAAGTTGCTGTGGATTTTGGGACTTAGGATTGTTACGAACACTATGGCGTTGGCCTTGTGCCGATTGGAAGTGTATAATTGCCGTTATGATTTTTCGAAATTGATATTGGCTGTTTTAATAGAAAAATTCACTATAAATCGAATACTAGTCCGATTTCCTTGAATTTTTAGGAGCAGCTGTTTTTGATGAATTTTTAGCTTCTGTAAAATTTTCGTGATTTTTAAAGGTGTCTAGCTAATTTCGAAAATTAAATTGTTTTCTGTTCAGTTTCTTTTTAAAATGCATAAGTAATTGTGTAGTGTTCTTTTCTGGCCAATTTTCGAGTATGTTATGTTTCCGGAATGATTATATGTGGTGTAAAATGTTTAGAATTTTTGAACTAGGTTTGTTAGGGTTAACAAATTATTTTGTGATTCTGCCCGAATTTATTTTAATTATGATAAATTGTTCTGAAGTTGAAAAATTCTGAAAATTTGTGGAGATGCTGACTATATGATGTTTAGCATGCTGTAAAAAGTTTAGAATTTGTAAAGTTCAGTTGTGATCAGTTCTGATATAATTGTGATATTTGGCTGATTGTGGTTTTAATTTTATAAAATTGTTATCCTGAGTGTTGAAGGCTGCCAAATTTATGTGATGCTGTTCATATGCTGTAGTATTTTAAATAAAAATTTCATAGCCTGAATCGTTCATTATCATGTGCTTTTAATTTAAACTCGTTTTTGCTGAAAAACTAGTTTGAACTTTATAAAATTATGCATAAGGAGTTTGAAGCTGAAATTGAGTGATCTTACTTAGAACTGGGATTTGAAATTTATGTTGAAGTTTCAGAACCTAACTCATTGATTTGATATGCCTTCTAATTCAAGTGTGAATTTGAGAAATTGTTTTTCTATGTTGAAATGTGTTAAGTGTTGATGACCAAATGTGCCATGTGTTTTTCTTGTGGCTCGTTTGTTGTCTTTCACTTGATTTTGTGTGAACTCGAATATGTGGTTTGATCGAGTCTAAGTCCTAGTGTTCCCATATCCACAGAACTTCACGACCCACGTGGTCGAACCGTGTTCGGCTAAGTTAACTTGTGAATTTGCTACATAGGTCTAGATTAAAGTGTTGACTTTAGTATCTGGACTTAATGTTGGTGTCGAGAGGTGTTGAACCTCGCCTCATCTCGAGATTTGTGATTTGAACTGTAGCTGCTATCAGGTAGGTACATTTATGATGTATTCCATATTTATCGCACTTAATATTTCGTATAAATGCTTTGTTTTGAAAAATGANGATGTGATTTAGAAATGTTACATCGAATGTTCTTCTCTCGTTCTTGAGAGTGTTCTTCTCTCAATTGAGAGTGTACTTCTCCGTGTGGAGTGATCTTCTTCGGGAGTCGAAGGCCAGTCTATAGAAAGGTTTGTCGGTACTCTTTGCTGTGATAGTCCTTTTGTGTGGAATGGCGGAGGATATAGGGCAAAGATTAGGGAGAGTTTCGATTGCTGAAGCAGAGAAGCCGATTATAGACATAGAAGAGAGAGATGTTCGATTCAGTGTGGAAGAATGCAGCCGAAGCTTATTTGGGAAGGTAGTCGGAGAAAAGAAAGCCAATTGGATGGGGATAAAGAGAATGATGGGGCTGTTATGGAGAATGGGGAACAATCTGGAAGTGAGGGAACTCAATCAGAATTACTTCCAATTCCTATTTCCAAACTGAGATGCTATGCTGCGAGTAGATCTGGAGAGAAGCTGGGTGTTTGAGAACCAATATTTGCTGCTTCAACAATGGCAGGAGGGATTATCGGAAGAACATCCCAACTTTAGAGAGATTATGCTGTGGGTTCAGGTCCATGGGGTCCCAATTAACTGACTGAGCATCGACGTGGGGACGAAATTGGGAAGATCATTTCGAGACATAAAAAATGTTAATCTGGTACGGGCAGGGATGCAAGGTGGAAGAGTGCTCAGGCTTCAAGTAAAGATAGACCTGAAGGAGCCTCTACCCAAATGGTCATCAATACGTCTAGGAGAACAAATTGTTACAGTGCAATTCAAATATGAGAAAATTGTGAGCCTCTGCTATTATTGTGGGAAACTGGGACATGTTGATAAGAATTGCTCCCAAATGAAAGAGGACATTGCTAAGAAGGAACCGAAAGTGGGGCAATATGGGGAGTGGATGCGAGCTGCTGATGGGTTCATAATCTCCGAATCACCTCCGGCAAGTAATAACAGAGATCCCTCAAACAATCGTCCATCTGAGCCTTTTGTCCCCTTAGACCAAAGGGTACAAGAACAGAGCCACACTGTAAATGAGTCGACAGAAGGAGGTAATTTAACCTCATCTCGATCTCCTACAAATCTAGCTATGGTCGAATCATCTTCATCGAAAGCTGAGGGTGATGAAGTGTCAGGCATGCTCATGGAGATCAGTCCACTTGAACAACATGTAACAGAGATCTAAGGCAAAGAGTGGAGCATGAAAATTATCACTGAGGGAGAGACGACAAAACAGACCAACCAGGAGGAAATAGGAATTATGGAGGAGACGCAGACAGATCTTATGGCTAAGAGGAAGGGGAAAATGTGGAAGAGAACAAGCTCAACGATGGGGAGACTGGAAAGGAAAGAACACCACAATAATAGCTCTATAATCCTTGATAAGCCTAGGAAAAGAAGAGGAGAAGAAATTAATCAGATTGAGGATGATCAGGGAGTGAAAGACAAGGAAGCAGGTAAGAAGAAATCTAAACTATCTGGTAAAGAGGTGGTGGTAGCCAGCCAAAATTGGCCCCATAGTGATGAATGCTAGCTCTGGTGTGGAACTGTAGAGGTTTGGGTGGCCCCTCTACAGTTCCCCAAATTCGAGAGGCTATGAAGTCTCACCACCCAAAATTTGTATTTTTATTAGAAACAAAAAAAAAACAAAAATTTTACTGCTTTGGTGTGTAGAAAATTAGGGTTTGAGGATAGAGTGTGTTTTGTGCAACCAGTAGGTAGTAGAGGAGGGTTATTGTTAGGTTGGGACATTAATGTATCTGTATTGCAAGTGGTTAGTTCTAGTTTTTGTATTCAAGTTCAATTCCAATTATCTAATGATGATGTCCCCTGTTGGCTTGTTTTTGTGTATATGAGCACTGAGATCTCTATTAGAGCTAATCAATGGCTGAGTCTTATTGATAATAAACATCTCTGGGGTGATGAGTGGTGCATTGTAGGTGACTGGAATGATTTGTATTTGGAGGAGCACAAACAAGGGGGCAGGACTAGAACTAAAAGGAGTCTTATTCCTTTCCAGAATTTCATTGGCAGTATGGGAATGACTGAGATCCACATGGAAGGCTACCAATTTACTTGGTGTAATAACAGAGAGGAGGGGGATTTTGTGGAAGAAAAACTTGATAATGCTTTTGGTTCTTTGGGATGGCTAAACAGATACCCTGCCACTAAGGCTATAAATCTGTTTAGGAGTGTTGGAGGAGCACAAACAAGGGGGCAGGACTAGAACTAAAAGGAGTCTTATTCCTTTCCAGAATTTCACTGGAAGTATGGGAATGACTGAGATCCACATGGAAGGCTACCAATTTACTTGGTGTAATAACAGAGAGGAGGGCGATTTTGTGGAAGAAAAACTTGATAATGCTTTTGGTTCTTTGGGATGGCTAAACAGATACCCTGCCACTAAGGCTATAAATCTGTTTAGGAGTGCTTCAGACCATGGGATGATTTTATTGCAAGCAAATCCACCTGAGGTTAAGTACAAGAAAAGATTCAGATTTGATAAGAGATGGATATCATTTCAGGGGGTGTGGGATGTGGTCACTCAGGCATGGGAGCAAGTCCAACATGGAACTCCTTTTTTCCAACTGAAGGAGAAAATTAAAGAGACTAGGAAGGCTTTATCTGCTTGGGAGAAGCAAAGAGGATCAAATAGTAAGAAGAAAATCTCAGTCCTTACTTTGAAATTGGAAGAGATGAGAAAGCTTGGAAATGGGAAGAACTGGGAAGAGTGGGAAATTTTGAAGAAAGAATTAGAGGAAGCTCACTATTCTGAAGAGCTCTTTTGGTAGCAAAAATCCAGAAACATGTGGCTTAAGGAGGGAGACCAGAACTCAAGATTTTTCCATGCAGTGATTGTCCAGAGAAGGAAAAGAAATGCAATTACCAGAATGATTGATAATAGAAACAGAGTTCTGGAATCTAAAGAAGAGCTTCAAGGCCATATCTCTACCTTTTATCAGAATCTCTTCACTTCAGAAGGGTCTTGGGGAGAAGACAGGATTTTGCAGCTAATTCCTCAATCTATCACTCAAGAAATGAATGAGGACCTTACAGCAGCAGTGGAAGATGATGAGATCAAAGCATGCCTATTTGCAATGAATCCACTGAAAGCACCAGGTGAGGAGGGGAGACCACATTGTTTTATCAACACTTCTGGCCAGTAATAAAACAGGACATGTGCAAGGCTGTTCATAGTTTCTTCAATTCAGGTAGATTCCTTCGTTATTGGAACCATACTTTGGTAACCTTGATTCCTAAATGTGAAAATCCCAGTTCTCTAAACCAGTATAGACCAATCAGCCTTTGTGCTATGGTGTACAAGCTTATTTCCAAGATACTGGCAGACAAATTAAAGAAGTGCCTTCAGGTCTGTATTAGCTCATCTCAAAGTGCCTTTATTCCAGGAAGGCAATTACTTGACAATGTGATAATTGCACAGGAGAGCTATCACTATTTGAACAGGCATAGAAATGGCAGACATAGCTTCATGGCACTGAAACTGGATATGATGAAAGCTTATGACAGAGTCGAATGGAGATGTCTTGAGATTTTAATGACCAAGATGGGATTTGCTAAAGCTTTTGTGAAATGGGTGATGCTCTGTGTGTCAACAACTACATTCTCTTTCATGTTAAATGGGGAAGCTGTGGGATTTGTGCAACCTACTCGAGGATTGAGACAAGGAGACCCAATATCTCCTTACCTCTTCCTCATTGTTTCTAAAGGCTTATCTGCCCTTATTGGTGCTGCAGCAAGTGATGGGATGTTTAGAGGTCTTAGGCTGGCTAAAGATGGACCTGTGTTAACCCACCTCTCCTTTGCAGATGATCTGCTGGTGTTTTGTAAAGCTGAAGTGGATCAAGCTGAGCTGCTCAGGGATATTCTGCATGAGTATGAGGCATTTTCAGGCCAAAGAGTGAATCTATCTAAATCTACAGTCTTCTTCAGTAAGAATACACTGCCCCTGAAGAGATCAAATATTTGCACAATGTTGGATGGCTTAACTGCCCACAATTCCTCTAGATATCTGGGCCTCCCCTTTGGCATAGGCAAATCCAAAAAAGAGACATTTGAGTTTGTAACTGAAGCTGTTAGGAAAAGACTAATCAGCTGGAAAAATAAGTTCCTCTCTACAGCTGGGAAAGAAGTTTTAATAAAGGTTGTCATCAACTCCCTACCTGTGTTTGCCATGTCATGTTTCAAGCTTACAGATGGAATTTGCAAGGAATTAGCAAGCCTAACAGCTAGATTTTGGTGGAGCAAGGGGGGAACACAAGAAAAAGGGATTCACTGGAAGAGCTGGAACATGTTAACACTGCCAAAAGAGTATGGGGGACTGGGATTCAAAGACTATAAGCTTTTCAATGAAGCTTTATTGTTGAAACAGCTGTGGAGAATCAATAACCAGCCTGAGTTACTGGTCTCTCAAGTTCTGAAGAGTAAATACTTCCCCAACACTTCAATATTTCAAGCTGAGAGGAAAGAGTCAGCTTCATGGTTGTGGTCAAATTGGTTGAAGGTGCTCCCCATTTTTAAAACCTTTTGCTGGAAGGAGATCAGATCAGGGAAAAATACTAAAATTCTTGATGGAGGGTGGATACCAGGGGAAGGTGGACAGGCACCATTGTTTCAGAATTCTAATAATGATAATCCTACATGGGTCTGGGAGCTAATGGAGAGTTCAGGTAGAAAGTGGAACTCTGATTTGGTGAAGTCCCTCTTCTCTAACCAGGTAAGTGCTGCCATCCTTAACATTAAAACAATGGCTGCAGAAAAAGATGATAAATGGATTTGGGGCCTGAATAGAAAAAGAGAATTCTTAGTGGCAGACTCTTATTCACATCTGATAACAGAGAAGGTGAAAAGGCTGGATATTCCTGAAAGCAGTACCTCGAGAAGAAAAAATAAGTTGGCAAGGGATAGAAGCTGGAAATTGAAAGTGAGAGGCAAAATTGAACACTTCATTTGGAAGTGTTATACAGGGATTTTACCAGTTGGGGTGAATCTGATGATGAAAGGTGTTGCAGTCGATGCTATATGCCCAGTGTGTGGAGAATCAGAAGAAACAATTGAACACTTACTTCTTCATTGCCAGAAAGCCAGAAATGTATGGAATTTGGCTCCAGTCTCTTGGGATGGAATAGACTTGCAGGGCTTAAATTTCAAAGCTTGGTGGTGGCAGGTATGTGATATAAAGAAATCTGAAACAGAAGAGGCTAGAATACAACTTTCGACATATATACTATGGTGGCTTTGGCGAGCGCGCAACCTCTGGGTGTTTACAAAGGAAAGAATGCCAGAAACAATAATCATGAAGAGGGCCGTGAAGGAATGGAAAGAGTTCAAAGATCTGAGTTAGCTGCAGTTAGGTCCTTGTCCTTTTCCAGTTTGTTGTTTGTATGGTATTGTTTGATTTTGCTGCTGGTTTTCTTTCCTCTGTTTCTGTTGCTTTGTTAGTTCTGTTAGGGTGGTTGTTTTAGTGTTTAGATTGTGTTGTTGTTTAGTTTGGAGGTAACCGTAGGTATGGAGTATTCAAGGCTCAGGTGCATGTACCTGCTTGATACCCCGGGAGGGTGTGTTTAGACCACTATTATTAGTGTGTCTCCCAGTTTATTTTCTGCCCGTTGGTAGGCGCGGATGATTTGTACTGTACCTTGCTATTTGGTTCTATGAGCATTTCCTATCGTTTGACAAAAAAAAAATATTTCGTATAAATGCTTTTTTTTGAAAATGATGTATGCGTGAGAACCCTAGTCTAGTGTCCCGTATGTTAGTGCCTTTGAGGAATGCATAAACAGTGAGAGGTCATCGGCCCGTAGATTCGGAGACGTGACGCCCAGGTCCGTATGATATTCGTGAATGGGAAAAACATCTCTACTGTCTCCTGGAAAGGATCCCTGGCCCGTAGCCATTCGGTGATGGGAAGGTTTCCAGTTACTTCCTTGCCGTGTGTGATCGGAAGGTTGTTGTATGTACATAGGAGGTTTGCGATAGGGCCAAGTAGGGAGTTAGACTGTTGGATTCTATGCATACTGAATACTATGGTTATGATGGTTTAAAAATGTTATGCGAGATATACTGTGCGATAATGGTGAGCTTGTTGGTTATGCTCACCCCCATTATTTTCTTTGTTGTCTTTTTCTCTTCCTTTGTTCTAGGTTGAGACGAGCTGGAGGCGGTGGCGTAGGACGAGCGAGATGATGGTCATTATGTGTTGAAACCTATGTTTCCGCTTGAACTTAATACTTATTTATTTTGCTATTATGCTTTGAATTATTTACTGCTTCCACTTTTCGAACTAAGTTTAAGTATGTTGAATCGTGATCATGCTAGACTTTTGAAATGAATTGGAGACGTATGTTTTGTGGGATTGTTTATTTTGATAGCTCGAGCATGTGTAGGTTCTTTGTATTGTTGGATGTGTTTGTTTGCTGTTGTTAGAGAGTAGCGCCCGTTTCTCATTAAGTGATTTTAATTTGTTTATAAAAAAAAAACTCTGATTTTTATTAAATAATTCGGTAAATTCTTCAAAATAAAATGGGGCGTTACAATATGATTTGTCGAACAATTTGTTTTTTGTTATTGCTATATTAGTACTTGACAGGTGCGCAGAGAGTTTATATGTTTTGCATATTTATTTATATTTTGTTGCTCACTAGATATTTGTTATCATTTTTAATTATAAAGTGTATTTATATATTTTTATTGTTTTCAGCAATACACTATGTCCATAGGTAATGAAAAATGGGAGTTGAAGAATAAGCTCAAGCTGTTTGAAGATACTTTTGATGCTGAATTCAATTGTTCTGAGGCTCATCCACATCTTAAAGATGTTGACATGGTAATTTTTATTTTTATTATGAAACCAATTTGTTTAATCTACTTAATCTCATGGTAATAATATATATATTTTATTTGTGTTCAGTTTTTCTTTCCCATCTACAAGAGTGAGCACTTTTTTGTCCCGTGCTTTGATATGAAGAGAAATCAGTATCACATCTTGGATAATTCGTCAGTTGGAGGATCAACTATTGCCAAATATGAGAGTTGCCCTTCAAATTTGGTGATTATCTTTCATGTTTTTATAATATAATTCATATTTTTTGTCATCATCTTTTATGTTATATGTTTAACACCTGTTTTTTGTTCTTTTCAGAGAAAGTTATTTAATGAATACTTTAAATCCAAGGAAAGTGGTGAATTGGCAGAGGCTGTTAAAAAAAA